TTTAAAGAAAAACACAGCAACAATATCTCCAAATTTTCAGCATGAGGATTAGGGATGAACATAAAAGATAATAAAAATGTAGCGCATTTCATATGGCTTCTCTCACCTTGACATCTGCAGCAGCATTCTTTTCTAATGCTGAAGCTTGAGCCTTGTAAATCGATACATTTTTCGACATCACATCCTTTCTTTCCATACCTTCCTTCCGTGGGAATCCACCAACCATAACAGCAACATTGACACCCTTACAAGCTTCCTGAACATCTGTTGTAGCAACAACACCTACAAACATGTACAAGGTAAACCCTAAGAATCCTCAAAAGGAAAAATATCAATCTACCATAAATTTGTATCCAAGATCAGGCTTCACAAGCATACCTTTGAGAAGAGGAAAGGCAGCATCAATCAATTCCATTTTCACCCCATTCAAGGACTCAGCTGCAGGTTCAATATCAAGCATGTGCAGAATTACAGGCTGATCAGGGCCAAGCATCGCCCCCCTAGCAATCATTGGAACAATAGCATAGCCTATTTGCCCTGATGAATATGAGCAAAATCCATTATTATATTACACAGTAATTAAAAAGTCATATCAAAGAATCTAAGTTCACCACAGAATTAAAGGAAGATGTAATTCAAATGCAAAAAATGAGTCCTAATCATTCTGGGACACTTAACATAAAAGCTTGTCCCTTTTCATTATTTTGTTAACTTGACAGACAAATACTGAGATACTTAGCCCAATATTTTCAAATCATAAAATTGGATATCATGAGCTTAAAAATTCAGGAAATATTCCAAGATGGTTTTGTGGCAGTGACAATACATGGCATCTGAATTTTGAATCGAACCATTATAAGAAAATGAAGTTGTAATTTTTTATTTATTTTTATTTTAAAACAGGTGGGGATGGGGAAGAAATAAAAGGATTGATTTGAGCATGCCTGCAGCACCAGTAACCAATACAGTCACAGGCTCCTTTTCCATGCTCAAGAAACTCCACATGTATTTTACAAGCTTCCAAAAGAAGGCAATAGTGAACAGAACAAGCAAGATTTTCTGGAAAACTACAATATTCTCCATTTTCTCAAAAACAGACAGATGCAACAAACAACTGTTAAAATCAAGACAATCCAATCCTATGTTTTTATATAGGTGTAAGAGTACCATGATTGAAACAAAGAATGTACGGGGTACTTCCAGAACAAGGCAATCAGATGCCAAAACAAAGTCCACAAGATACTTGGAAATACAGAACATATCAAATTATTCCAAAGAACCGAACCAAACCCTCTGTTTGGTCTCCTCCTAAACCAAGGAATAAAAAAATAATAATAAAAATAACAGTCTCAAATCCATGCTTGTTGAAGAATTTTAGTGATCTCATAACAACAACAAAAAAAAACTTGAAATTCTTCTCTTCATCCACATTTTCATTCAAGCCAGCCACACAGAGAAAATAATACTGGAAAGGAAGTAAATTTTGAAAGAACGACCATACCAGCAGCACCAGTGACAAGAACTCGAACTGGGTCTTTCGCCATTGCTGCAAAGTGTGGTTTTGGATAGAGAAAATGGGTTTTTAGGAATGAGAACAATAGAGAAAATGGCGATGGGACTGTTGAAAACAGGGGTGGTTTAAAAAGGATGGGAACTAATGAGAATGAGGTTGAGAAAGAGAAGGAGATGAGGATTTGGAAGATTCAGAGTGACGGAAATCGAGGGTAGAGATAAGCGTGATGATAGGAAGACTGCCAACTTCCATACTTACGCAGAGAACAGAACTTGGCACCATGCAAACACTAAGAAACGTCCACTTGTAAGTAACCATTTCATCTCGACGACCATGTCATCTTGGTAATTTTTTGCCTTACTTTTCAACAAATTACGTCTCATTTTACATATCACACATTTCCTTTTCACTCTAATTCTCTCTTTATATACACAAGAACTATGTATGTTATTCTTTTTTATTTTTGTCACTATAAAAACTTCTCCCGTTGTGTGGAAGGTTTACGAATATTTGGTTATATGAATTAAACTACAACAAAACAAAACTCATATTCAACGTTATATGTGACATAAAAGCATTTGTATCATTTAGTGAGCTAAGTTGAACTATGTGAAGGCTGAGTAGTAACGAACAATAAAATTGACTGAGCTAGCGGTATAGATTAGATAACGCCAATTTATTATTATTTTTTTTTTGTGAATTGCAAATTATTCTCCACTCTAAATGGTGAGGCACGTCGTTCGAGTAGGCAACTTTATCAATAACAAATTAAGGCCTGTGTTTTTTAATTTTTTTCTTTTGCCCCAACTCCATGTGAATGAAAGTTCTTTGCAATCAATTATTAGATCCGTAATCGGGTTAGGAGGAATTTAAATTGAGAAATTGAATTGAGGAGATTAAAGTTGTTTACTTAAACTATGTGGAATTGAGTTTAGAGTGAAAAGCGTATATCTTACCAGTAAGTTATAGAGTAAAATGTCAATATCCTTATTTTGTTTCGGCCCCGTTTACTTTTCGTTCTTCTATTTGTAGTAAACACAGGAGTAATCCGTAATTGGAATTCAACTCCTTATTTTGATTCCCATTACGAATTAATTACGAATTAATAAACATGACACGAGAGTAATACAATTAATCTTGTTAGCATGGGGTGCAATTTTATTCAACCAGTAATCAAACGCATAAAAGACAGAGCACATGCCAATTGCCAACGCAACAAAATCAACTAACACATTACAAAAGATCCAGTTTTATTATGATAATAAACTAAGCATGTGACAAAAAAAAAAATTTGACCTCTCATCCCAAAATCATATTCTCTTTGCCTTCTTGTTCTTCCATGGTGTCACAAAGCGTTCCTCCCCTTGTGTCTGGCAAACAAGCCACAAAAAACCCAGAAAAAAATATAGCCAACCCAAAAACTCCATAAGAAAGAAACCCATTGTTGCTCCCTACAGAAACCAGTATTGAACTGAACACAGCACTCAGCACATAAGATTGCCTCAGCAGAGATGTAGCAGAATTCCTCACACAAGTTGGAAACAACTCAACTGTAAACATGGAGATCAAATTCCATGCTGTTCTTGAACAGAAGAAAGAAGCCAATTCCAGCCCAATTCTAATACCCTTTTGTCCATTTCCAACAATTGCACACGAAATGCCAAATATCCCACTTACCAAACAAAATGCAAGCACTGAATATTTCCTGCTCCATCTTTCTAAAATGATGCAAGTGATTGGATATGAAGGTATTTCTAGCAAAGCATTGAACATGACACTAAGATAAATATTGAAGCCTAAATTTCCAACTCCTAATGGCATGCCATAATAAACCATTCCAATGCCAAAACCAAGTACCATAACTGTTAGTGTTCTCTTCATAGCCCATCTTTTGGCAAACAAGTCCTTCATTGACTTGTATGGGTGATTGTTAGTCTTTGAAGTTTCCTCCACCCCCTCAGATGGCATGCCTGCTGAGACCAACAACAATTTCAACTCACTTGGGTAGTTCGGTGCTGCAGATTTTTCCAGTATTGCTATGGCTTCTTCCACAAAACCATGCATATAAAGCCATCTTGGAGACTCACTTACAAAGAATTGAAGCAATATGCAGTAAAGAATTGCAGGAATTGAAGTGCACAAATACAGAGCTCTCCATGAGTTATCTCTGTTAACATAAGCAATCAATGGCAATGACAAAAACCCCAGAGTGAAAAAAAAGAACTGCATAATTCCCAATCTAGGCCTCCATTTTCTTCCAACTTTTTCCATCAACAACACAAGAACACATGTACTGATTGACGAGCGGCCGAAACCGCTAACAAATCTCACTGCAGAGTAAACCCAAATGTTTGGGGAGAAGATGGTAAGAAAAGAAGCTAAAGACATTGTGATGCATGAGATCAAGAGCACCTTCTTGCGGCCAAGTGAAGAGTCAGCTAGAGTGCCTAGAAGGAACCCACCAATCACACTACCCAAGAAATAAGATGAGGCAGGGATGCCTCTGATGAAAGAGCTTGAACATTGCAGGTCCCAATCAGATATGATTGTGTGGGAGGAAATTGCATCCCAGGACCAATCAGAGCTGGGAAGATCACAGATGCTGGAGCTTGTGGTGCATGATGATGATGATGTGGTGGCAGTGGAGCAGTGCCATGAAGGCACAGCATCTGTGTAGACACTGATGAATGTTTGTTGGCCATCAAAAAGTGAAGCCAAAGAGACAAGGATGGCTTGCAAGAACTGCTTCCACCCAAAACTTGATTGACTCTGCTCGATTATTTGATCCAAGGAGTCAAGGAGATTGTTTCTTAGAGTTTCTTGGTCTTCCATGTTTGATGGAGGCACGGAAGAGGGGTTGGATCAACCATGGGATTTATAAATTGTAGTTGTTAGCTAACATATAAGAATATTTGTGTGTAGTAGATTTGACAGCTGGGTGGAGGCAAAACATCTACTTGTCTTTTTCCATATGGTCATTTGTTTTCATAGACATAAGGTGTGCACTATATAAAATATCCAAGCTTATTAGCGACTTTTACATATTAGAGTTTGCGTATTATGTCAAACTGTGATTTGCAAGAACAAAATGAGAAATCGTGCACTTCCGCTTTCAATATTTAAGTTATCTTGTCCCTTGTCATAAATTTAAAAACAAAAACAAACGTTGCTGTCGGTCCACATGACAGAGTAATATACAATTTAAGGATTAGTCAAAGAAAGAGGCCAAGGGGTTTGTGACCCAAGGGATGTGGATGCCAAAGTGCCTGAACATTTACAAGTAGTAAGGGCAGAGTTCAAGTCCTTGTGCGTCCCTTGGGTTAACAAAAAGGCAAGATCATACATATAAGATAAATATGCCGGAAAGACTTATTTGTCCTTGTTGGGGAAATTGCTGTCTTCTAAAATTCATGCAATTACTGAGAATATGGACCCCCATTTGTACCAAGAAAAGGGTAATTCATTACGCACCCATTGATATATTCAGTGCACCCAATAAAGGGAAATTCTAACAATCCCAACTTATGCACCCAATGAACATGATATCCCAGTGCACTCAACAAAATTCTAAAAATCCCAACTTTACAGAGAACTGAGAAAATTCAAAGATGAAGAAAAGGCAGCCAGCCATGGCGGCATCACAAAGCAAAACCGGTTGGTGGAAACACTCTGTTCAGCTACTCTGTCTCTATATTTGGCTCCATATCTACCCTTAGAGATGAATTGCAGGAGCTCTCAGCAATTCTCATGTGGAAAAGGAGTGGACTTGCCTCCCAAAGTGTGGCCCTTGCTGGTTTCCTTCAACGTAAAATCAAGAATTTCAAAATCTCCAGCTTTATCATGGATGGCCATACATTCTTTGATTCTTTTCAGGTATGTTAGTCTGGTTCTAGTAGTAGTAATTAATTTATGCCCCTGTAAATTTAATTTACCAATGTGATTTTATTAATTTACCAATTTGTAGCTGCATGGTTTACAATGTGCTCAAGCTTTCCTTGATGGATCAAGGCTTTCTACTTCCTTACCTTTTTGTCTTTTTGACTTTAGGGTGTGGTGAGAAAATTAAGTGTCACGGAAATTTTTTATTTTTTGGAAATGGCAGTGATATAAAAAAACAATTTAGGTGACAAGGAAAACACAGTCTAGATATTTAGATCAAGTTCATAAGATTAGCTAGGGATATGCAAGGTTTTTTCGTGGCCGCCACGGAATGCGATTTTTCAACCTCATCCATATTTTTCTCTCTCTCCCATTATTGCCTTTCCTAAAACCTCTTCTCCACTAACCCCATAATTCTATAGCGCCTTGTTCTTATTGTTTACAATTTAGGTGGGATGAAATCAGATAATTAAAGAAGAAGAAAAAAAAAGGCAGAGGATCGGTCCTGAAAGGTTTCTTTCTTTTTCTCTGTAAATTCCTCCGTTTTTCTCAGTAACCAAACAGAGGTATTAGTCTTCAATATCTCAAAGAAAAGAACTTGCTTATGAGCTATGAAAATTGAGCGATTAACAACTTGGTTACGGGTTTGCAGGGATGAGGTTGCACAATAACTATGATGAGCCCATGAAGGTAATGATCACTCAAAACTTCATCATATTTCTTGATTGGTATCTTAATTTTTAATAGAATTTATAATTAGCTAGTTTTCTTCTATAGGGTCATTCAGAATTAGCAGAGTGGATATTTTTAGTCATTAGCCTTGGCCTGGAGACGTTGTCAGCTGCTTTTGATCAGGCTTCGTCCCCAACAAAACCCCACTATGCACTATTTGGTGTGCTGTTGGCTATTGCAGCTGTACTTATTTCCATCTGGGAGCTAATTTATAATGGTAGATAGAAAAGAGTTGCGCTGAGGAGATGGGGATGGCTCTGGTGGTTTTATTATCCACCTCCTGGTAACGCACTTTTCGGTACTCTTCCTGACATTTATGGACTAGTTGGCGGCATCTCGCAGTGCATTTGCTCTATAGTTCAGTACATGTTCTACCTTCGGCATGCCGATGATCCTATCAAAGCATCCATTTTGCCTGCCATATTTCTTCTCTGTTTAGGTGGTTCAAAACTAAATAGGAATCAGAGGAACACGAACACCATCGAACATAACATGTTCAGGAAAAGGCAACTCTTGCATAGTGAGTCTATTTAAATATTTGGTGAGCAAATCCAACCAGGAAACTGGATTTAGACAGGGGAAGCAAGGGCCGGCCCTGAGGCAAAGGCAAGGAGGGCGACGGCCATCGGCCTCCAATTAAAGGGCCCCAAAATTTTATATATATGTATTATGTGTACAAAATATAATATTCGCCCATAGATATATATATATATAATTCATATTCAATGCCTAAATATCATAAATATAAAAGCAAATTATTATGGCTGACATCTAAAGAAAAGAAAGTAATTTCTAAATATAAATAATGTGGTCACGTGGGTTTGGTGGGTTAGCATGATTATTTTACTTCTATTTTTTTACCATTTGCTCTACCCGAAGCATTTTGCCCATCACATCTCTACGCATCTGTAGCTCAAAACTTTTTTTTATGTTTCTCATTTATCTTTGTTCTTCCCTCCTCTCCTTTTCTCTCATTGATTGTCTTCCTCTCCTTTCCCTTCTCTCCGATTCTTTCCTTCTCTTTTCTCTTTATTTTTTCTTCTCTTGTTCTCTCTTATTTCTCTCTGTCTCTCTTTCCCCTTCTACTTTTTTTTTTCTTATTTCTCTTTTGTTCTCTTTTGGTTTTGTTAAAATTAAATAAAAGTGTTTAACCCTTCATGATTTGGGAAACCAAAGGGTCTATAGAGATTTTGACCAAAAAAAAAAACCTGCATAGGTAGAGAAAGACAAATATGCGACAGACAGGTAGAGAAAAAGTCATGGATTTTTTTCTCACCACCCCAAAATGCAAGAGACATAGGTAGAGAGAAAGAGAGAGAGACAGAGAGAGGCAGGGGTTGGGCTGTGTCGTGGGTGGGTGGTTCTTTGGGCGGGAGGGGTGGGAAATGGGTGGGTTTGGCAGCGGACAATATTTGCTGCCACAAGTAGGTGGTGCAAGAATTAAATGAACAAAAAATGGCAGGTGCAGCAATAAGAAAGTGAAAAACTCAAGGATTTTTAACTCATTAGTTTTTGCTAAGGGTAAATTTGGAAATACATAATATTTTTTTTTATAATTAAAAATATTATTTTAAGTGAAAAAGAATGACATGTAGAGAAAGTCGTTAGCATTCTCCATTAAATAATTCTATTTAAGCACACACACGAAAACAAAACAAAACAAAAAGAGCATGAGCAATTTTTTTTTTCCTTGTTTACTAAGGACCTCATTTAATGTTTGGCCCTATGGCCACCAAAATGTCAGGGCCATCTTCAAATATTGCATTGACGCATGCATTTTAAGATAAAATCTCATACATGGACAAGTTCATATGTGTTATGAACAAATGAAATACTGAGAATTAAAATGGGACCCTGTGAATGACAAGTTTTTAGCTAGGTAAATCCATGCGAAGTATCTTTGATATAATGCAGAGTGAAAGGAGGTTGTTCCTCATGAGTATCTGGATCTTCCACATTGGATGGAGGCACAACCGGGGTTGGATCATCAGCCATGGTATTGTTACTTTAAAATGTTTACAACTCAAAGATGTACTTGTCTTTTCCAGATAGTCATTTTTTTTTCATTGACATTTCCGTTTCTTATAAATGTGAAATTGATACTTAGGTGACGAGGGGTAAATTTAACTAAACAAACAAGACACAACAACTCAACAATCAAGAGAACACACAGAGTATGCCACATAGTACCTGCAGTCCTAGAAGATTACTAGTAACAACCTATGCACAAAGAAGGACCCATCAATCTAGGCATCCCCTGTGCTAGCAACAACTATGGTGAAAGTGTGTGAAGTCATCAATATCAAGTAAACAGCAAACAGCATATATAGATGACTAGTCAACCACCAAGAACAGAAACCCAGATAAATTTACAGATATGCAAAACAGGTTTTGTTTACCCAGAAACCCACCATTGGGAAAAACTGGGAGTCATCAACCGACTAGGCAATCCACTAAGTAGAAAAAGATTCTTACAAAGGAATACAAGCAAGCTCAAGCAAAACCTAGATCTATTTAGGTCTTCTTCTCCAACTTAGCAAAGCTTGAAGCTCAGTTCTTCATGGCAATGGCAGCTCCTTCTTCAGCTCGTTCATCCCATGACACTAGCTTGCAAGCTCCAACTTAGAACGAAACGAAATTTTGGATTCATGGGAGAAAGACCAATTTCTTCAAGAAACCATACTCTTGAAGAAATCAGTCACGAATCCGATCTAGATCTATATGAGAGAATGATTTAAATAGCTAGATGCAGATTCATATTTCAAAAGCAGTTTTTCAAAAAGAAATCAATTAGAAAAACTCATAGATGAAATATATGGTTTTCTCTTGAGGAAGAAGAGAAAGATGGCAAGCCAATCTTTCCAAAACTTCCACACAAAAGAGACGACCTCCAAATTGGGAATTCACTTGCCTTTACAGACAATGACACATGGCAGCAGAGAGAGAAAATAGAATAGGACAAAACAGATGGTTAACCAGCTGGAAATCGCACTGAGCAAAGATGACTAGTCATCTTTTATGAAAACTGTTTTAATGCATGATATGCA